GGGCGGTAAGGACGAGAGAGAGAGAGTTATGTTGGTGCCGTGTGTGGAGAGATGGATGGGGTAGTTGGCGGTTGTTGTTGTTGTTGTAGATGACAAGAACATGGGGAATGGAAAGTTGGGTAGAGTTTGGGGGATGAGGCACGGTTATGGCGGGTGAGGAAAGCACATGAACGATTATAAGCAGTGTTGACTGCGTAATATGCCACGTGAAGTCGCAGCCTCAAGTATCTTCATCCTGTGAAGATTTTTTATTATTCCGTGCGTAGATATATGAGAGGTCGCCTCATGTCGATGCAAGTTCTACAATAGCGTGATTGAGCCATCGAAAAATGGATCCCCTCGCTACATCGCTGTAAGCTTCCCCCCTCCTTGCTCAATTCCTTCTTCCTGCAAAATTGCTGAAATTATCCACACATGCTAGGTTGCAAATTGCATCGACCGCCTGAAGCCGACGGGCAATAATAAAGTGTTCCCTGTGACTGTAGCAACAACAAACAAGGTTAGTCACTGAGGAAAACTTATATCTTGGTGTGTCAGAGTAAACAACATACATCTCCGAGACGACAACTATTCCATCCGCAGCCGCTGCAGCAGCGGACTGAATCGAGGTCCCCAACGTTGATATTGAAACCGATTCCGCCGTCGGGTTGACATGACTGTGCGAAGATGGTTTGGCCGAATATGGCGACGAGGAAGGTGAAGGGGACTATGGCTGCTCTCATTGTGAAGGTGGGTTTGGTTTGGATCGTGTGATTTGACGAGTGTGTGATGAGTTGTTGAGGTGAAGTGCGAGGAGGAAATGTAGCGTGCTAACATCCCTATGCATATATATATACATGTAAATCGGATGTTTTTTTCTTGGCGAACTTGGTGTCCTAATCGAGCTAGATGCTATCGTCGAATCACTCGGGTTGATCGGAAGGGTCAAGTACGTATTAGAGGGTAAGCTTATGCCTCATATTATGATGTTCGACAGAATCTCGGTGACTATCACTGCACAACGGTCCGAATAGCTTCAGAGATAACTACGATTCAACCGAAGCCTTGGTATAGCTAGAATGCAATAGCCTCTGGTACCTCTCTAAGCGTTGTAGTAAAGTGTTTTATGTGTTTTCCCATCAGAAACGGGTGCTCGATGCTGGGATTGCAGTTCATCGTTGGTTGTGAGGAAAGTAGGTGATTCGGCGCAAAAACAATTTTAATAGAGTTTACAGCTATAGTCTGCTTCTTTATCCGCAGCAGCACAGCAGTGCAGTAGTAGCTCTACAGCATCTCTTGCGATTAGTGAACGATTAGACTAGAGTGTTGCCTCCTCAACAAGTCTACATTAGTTTCGCGTTACGTTAAGCATCCTTCTTTTCTTGTAGTATAGACGCGACGCAATGCTCTATTGTTACAACAATCAAACCGTTCTCGGTCTAAAAGCACTGCAACACCCTCAGCACGCGGGAGCGAGAGTAGTATATTCGAGCAATCTTAGAAACATCGTCGGGTTGAATAGCATTCTAAGGATCAGCTCTTCATTAGCCAAGATTCTAATCGTTAGCTGTTGTCTCAGGTCCCACACTTGGACGAACACGGGTTTTTTCTTTTGGCGGCTACGCGATCAAATCCGTCTCAAGTTGACTATCAACCACACATTCCCCGGCGTTGCAGCCAGCAGTCGTCAATTACAAGTAGCTGGGTTTTGTCTATTACCAAAGTCTTGTGCGACAACCTCCATATCCAATGTCATCGTGAGGGCCCTTCCGGCGCAAAACAAGCATCAGTCCATGTCTGCAGAAGAAATGCATTCTATCATTTGCGAAAGGCTGACATTGAACAATTTGAGTGCATAGCGCAGTCCTACATAAAGGACAAAACTTCGCGCGTTGCGAGACACCAGGCAGAACGTCTACCATGGCAACGCAGTGCCATCGTAATTCTTGAACGTTCCACTAAACTCCTTAGTAGCTTCGTCGATTACACCAACCATGTTAGTCACACTGGTATCAACACTGATAGCCCCGAAATCCTTCCATTGTGAGCCACTCGCAGCAGCAAAATCCGTGTTCATATCTGTCTCGACAAGTCCAGGATGAAACACGAAGCTCGTAAGCCAAGGCTCTTCAAAATGGAGACGGCGAATGAACCAGTTCAAGGCTGCCTTACTGCCTCCGTAAGGGCTATGTTTCGCTGGAAAAGCGGCCAGCATATCCATGGCTCCGATTGATGCGACCAATGTTGAAATGGCAACGAAAATCGGCTGCTTGGTTGGGCTCGCCTGAAGAAGATCGGCAATCGCTTGGAAGAGCACGACCGGACCGATGGTGTTAACACGAATATGCTCCGTGATATTGCCGACTTCAGTATCGCGTACTGTTCCACCACCGGTGGAGATGCCAGCATTGGCAATCACGACATCAAGGTATTTGATACCGTGGTCATTTTTAAGGATTCTGACGGCATCTTTGGCTGAAGTTTTGGAAGTAGAGTCGAGAGGTACCAGTATGAGCTTTGAACCTTCCGCGATAGGTAACGCAACGAGCTCTTTCGCGCTTATGTGTGCTGGGTTTCGGACAGCAGCTATGACAGTAACAGAGGGCTTTTGTAAAAGTAGGCCTGTGAAGCCCTTCCCAATGCCGCGATTGGCACCAGTGACGAGATAGATCTTAGGCAAAGCCATGATCTCAGAGTGCGGTGAGTGAGAGTTGAGGAGTATGCAAATAATTTGGGTAGAGTGATGATTCTTGTTGTCTTGACTATGAAGTGATGGGGACCTCTACTTGTATAGCTCCCTAAGAATGACGGAAGTTTGGAAGACCTAGTCTGAGGCCAGTCTACTTCGTTCCTATTCCGAATAACGTTTCTAGCTCGGAGATAGTGATATTGCTTATAAAAGCAGCCGAGTTCTTATAAGCAGTGTTTAGTAATACTACGTTTAAACTTCAACCTTGTACGTCGCGGGAGGATCTAAGGGTCTGCATGCTCCGCCTAAGCGCTAACAGTCGCCATACCTAGAACGACCGGATGTTCTGAAATACGGCGCTACAAGATCGTACGGCTAGGTCCGCATGTATAGGGCTGGTGCTACTAAGGCAGCTAATAGGCGCCTCCTGGAAGAAGTCAAAGCTAGGCGCATCGCAAGCAACCAGGCGAAAGCGCATTAACAAGTTATCGCTAACAAGAAGGTACACGAACAGTCCGCTGAGAGCATTGCCAACAGCTTGCTAAGACCCGTTCTCACCGCTAGTTCCTCTTCGAGGAACTGAAGATAAACAAGGCTGCTTTTGAGGCGAAGAAGAAGGAGATAAGAGCGAAGCCTACGAGCCTTACGAAGGTAGTAGTAGCGAAGAAGCCAGCGCAGAAGGCGCTATTGAGCATGCTGCGGCGGTTTCGCGTTTGTGTTAACGCCTCAAAGATAAGTGCTAACGACTATGTTTCCTAGCAAGTTTTCGATATAGGGTTAGAACGGAATTGTAGGGTGCGCATCATACGCACGTACGCGGTATCGGTATCGTAGTAATCCATCTCCGTCGGACAAACAAACGCCCTTTTTTGCCGCCTATCTAACACTACTATAGTTGTCGGCATAAGTTTGTAAGTGGGCTACTAGCAGGGGGCTTATTTTGTGGGTCTTGAAGTCACGTAAGCAGATCTAAATCGTGTCACGTAATTAGCTCTTATCGGAGGAGAGGCATCTGGAGTAACACCGATTTAGCGTCTCTACTTACATTAGATATGCCGGAGACCATAGTAGTCTCTAAGCTAACATTAGATGCTATATTACACCTTATTACGGACTGGATACATGTTAAGTAATCAAGGGAAATTGCACAATTCCAAAGCATAGTCGGCTTTATAAGTAGAGCTCAATATTATCGAGACGGCGCGGTCACAACGCTGCAGTTTGCTCACAGTTCCACTCAAGTTGAACGTTGATTGTCGCTAAACTCGATTCAATATGTTGTTCAAGCACAGATCCTTTCTGGCAAGCGGGCTGGTAATTTTACAAGCACTCCAGATCTCTGTACAGGTGAGATGCCAGGGAGTCATGATTTGAGGTTCAGTCTACTAACGATGAAACAGGGTCTAGCTGTTCAAGCTCGCGACGAAACATGTAAAATCAACCTCAAACCAGATACCGTAGGTCTCTTGCTCTTAGTTCACAACTAATTATAGTACGCTGATAAAATGCAGGCCGACATTGCGAATACTTCATATGTCAATACTGTACGAAGTGTTCAGATACCTTCACGAAGAACATACCGTTACGTATTTTCCCAACCGCTCAAATCCGAGAAGCCTTACCTTCTCTTTCTGCACGGGTTTCCAGAGTCGTCTTATGGTTGGATAAACCAGATCGAGTACTTCAAACGGCATGGTTATGGTATCATCGCGCCAGATATGCTAGGCTATGGCGGCACGGATAACCCTACTGACTTGGAAGCCTTCAAGCTGAAGACCATAAGCTCCGAGCTAGTAAATCTTTTAGATTGTGAAGGGATTGACCAGGTGGTCGCTATCGGACACGATTTGTGAGTCTTGAGACTTCTGGACTTTGCTGTTGCGCCTCAAACGAGGTAATCACACAACTAACAGATCTGTAGTGGATCTTCCGCAGTCAGCGCCTTGCAATGGTACAATCCAGACCGCTTGCTGGGTCTGGCTTTCATGAGTCTCGGCTATTTTAGTCCTGGCTTAGACCTTCCTTTGGCTACTATTGAAGCTTTGAACAATCAGTCAGAGACCTTCTTTGGTTATCCTGCGCTCGGATATTGGCCCTTTCACAATACTGATGAAGCCACTACAGCTTACGACAATCATGTACGTTGCTTGCATAACTTTCTCTGATCGATTATCTAACTTGCATATAGCTTGATTCTGTCTACACCCTCTGGTACACTAACAATGAGACATATCAACGGCAGTATCTTGCGTCCTACAACGCTTTGGAAACCTGGCTATCTGAAGATCGCCAAGCACCATACGGCGGCGCATACATATCCGAAGTAACTAAAGTACAATGGAAATCTATTGTCGAACGTCAAGGAGGACTCAGTGGCGGTCTAAACTGGTACAGAGCGAATCTTCGAGGTGTCAATAGCGCCGACGCAGCCGGTACGAACCTGCAATCAAAATCCCCCGTACATCTATGTATACTGATATTCCTGCAGCTCTACGGTCTGTCTCTCCAACTATTTTGAAGCCCACCCTTATAATAGTCGGAAATGATGATCCAGTCGCTCAACCAAGCGTACAATTGAACAACACGCTTCCTTTTGCGCCGCGCGCCCGCATCCGAACTCTTGACGCGGGACACTTTGTTCCACTACAGGCAGTAGAGGAAGTCAATTACGAATTGCATGAGTTTTTAAAGACTTTTACTTAATTCATACGTAATGTCAGTGCCTTGTTCGACATCCAATTCCTGGAACAGCGGAGAGGCGGGTGATGGATTCTATAGATCTGTGGCACGGACTGGAAAGATGTAGCACAAGGACAGTACAGAAGATGTTGCATCCAAAGGTCATGACGATGGAGGTAATAGGTAATAATAGTATTCGAAGTGATGATTCGTCCTTAATTGTGTTGACAAGCCGCTCGAACAGAGAAGTCATGTCACCGTTCCCTCGTGTGCCTCAACCCACTATCACTGCTGTCCATGGCTTTCCATCATGGCCTGCTCGGAGCTTGATCGAAGACTCATCGAAGAGGGTCTCTTTATCAGGAACGACGAAGTAAACGTCGCATTCGATACCAGATGTGTTCTTCAGATCTTCAATGCCTTTCAGCACTGACGCGCGGATCTTAGGAACGTCGATCTTTTCGATGAGATTAACTTCACTCCAGCCGAAGTCGACACCGACGATAAGAAGGGAAATAAGGTCAGACATGATGAACAAACCAGTATGACAAATCAAGCTATAGTCATAACATTGATGATAGGCGAAAGACTTCTATAAAGGTCCTCTTGGCTACCACTCAGCAGCCAGCTTATCTAGAACGCGTATCGGTGTGTTCGGTGCGCGTGATGAATGTAGTGGAGGCCGAGGCAGCCGGTGTGAGAAGGTCATCGGCGGCTTTGGTATTAGCGAGGCCGCTGCTTAGCAACTGTGACGCTTAGTGTTAGGATGCCGCAAGGAAGAACTCGCTCCTGATATCCACTGCACGCCAGCTCAAAAGTTGAGGTATTATGCAATGCAAGGACAGCACACGGAACGAAGAGACAAGAGGCTCTACTCTGGTAGGTCTCACTCGCATTGGAAGTCGCACCGTGTCGCGCTAACCTTACTGCCTAAAGCATATCGCGGGTTGCCGGCGCAAGTGTCATGACATTAGGTATGGAACGCTTAGAGATCTAGAACAGTGAGATAAATATGAGTACTTTGTGTTGTGCTTGAATACTGCGATTTCTATATTGACAGAAAAGAGAAACAAAATGCTAACCGGACAGCTTCATTGTCTTCGCATCGCGTTTTGCAGACTTGTCAACAATCAAGCCAAGCAAGCTGGGTACCCCAGCTTGGCTTGATTGTTGGGTGCCTCTACTTCAGCTTAGCTTGATTGGCTTGGTAGGTTAAAACAAGCCAGCTTGATTGTTTGGCTTAATTGGCTTAATAGTCAAAGCGTTTTTAAGGCTATACAAATAGGTAGTATTAGCTATATCGTGACTTTTTTTAGAGTTGAGTTTCCGAATCGCTGTTAGTATTGCTGCTGTCTCTAACGTCCCACGCGCTTACGCTGTACAACGCCTCTATCTCATCGTTAGTTATAGAGTTTCTGTTGTTGAGTTTATCGTCGCCTAGACCAGCTGTACGCCACCGTCGTACGCACTGTATTGCCGCTAGAAGTCGTGGTTGTATACCTCGTCGGCGAGGCTCTAGGAGATCACCTAACTCGCTGAACATACGCTCACACTCGCAGCTCGACGCTAGGATAGACAGTACGTCAAGCGCAAGCTTGCTAAGTTGAGGATAGCGATCCCGCATTAATAACTAGTATTTTATTAGGTTGTTGGCGTACTCGCTGCCCTTCTCCACCCGCCGCTCGCACAGCTTCTACTGGGTATACTTGTTGTTAGCTGCCTCGTCGCTGTTGCTGGCAGTTGTAGGATTAATAATGCTGTCGATTGCGTTGTCTATATCGTTCGATAGTACCTTTAGGCGTCGTACAGCTAGTTAACTAGTATTGTATTAAGCCTACAAGCCGCGGAAACTAAGGTTGTTAGACTCAAGCTAGCTAGGTTTCTTAGTACCCTAGGATTTGTCGCAATACGATTAGTAATACGGGTAGAGTATCGTAGCTGCGTAGTAGGCGGGCGATAGGTCTAATTTAGAGTAATACTCGCTAGCTTTCGCCTACGCTGCGCGCATGTTAATCGCAAGGTGGTCCTCAGGCGCCTCGTCGTAGGCGTTATACTTAACGGCCTCGTAAGCTAGTACGCGCAATTCGTAGTAGTTAAGTATATACTCGAATACTAGGATAACTTTAGCGATACAGCTAAACCTCCCGCTGTTGCCGCGCCTCTTAAGGCGCTTTGTAGCAGCTTTTAGCGGCTTTAAAGCGTCTATATACTCTGTAACTACCGCCTAATTGTGCGTTGTAAGGCTGTCTGATCTTATCTAGTGTGGCGCGTGAGGCAGTTTGTTGCGCTGCGACTTAGCGTAGGTATCCTCGTCCTGTATACGCTTTATATAGTGGCTGGCGTACGCGTTAATCGCTGGTTGAAGCTGTACAGCGCGCTCAAAGCACAAGTAGAAGGAGTTCTAGCGTGTAATAACAGGCTTGACGGGCTCAAGGATCTTGCGTTTATTAGGAGGTGCGTTAGCTAGTAGCTCGCGATAGGCAAGGCGCTGAAAGTCAGCAAAAAGAGCGTATTGCTGTAGTGTTTTAATGTAGTTGACGATACCTAGGAGTACGCCTAAGGGCCTATCGCGCCTCTACTCGCTTATATACTCGCTTTTAGCAGTAATCTTAGCGGTATTGTTGTTGTACGAGGCACTGTTTTCTCCCTAGAGGAGCATCTAGCTGACAAGGTTAATTGTATGAGGACTACAACGGAGGCGGCGATGGCGTAGGTTGAAGCCTATTGTTAGCGCAATTGCGTCTATCGCGGTGTCGTTATTGCTTGCGTTGTTAAGTACGAAGTAGCTAATACGTTGAGCGTTTATACCGAACTCTTTTAACGTTTAGATAACAACCTTTGCTATCCTATGTCTACTGTAGGCGCCTGTTAACTGCGGCAGCGCGATAGGTAAGTCTACAATATCGCCTTGCTTGTTAACGTAGTGGGCAACGATACCTAAGAACCTACGCTTGCTACCTTTTGTTGTCTAGCTGTCAAAACTTATGTGTATCTTGCTTTGTGCCCGCGACAGTTCTGTGACGACTTGCGGCTGTAAGTAGTTGTACAGGCGCATAACGTAACAAGAGACGCTGTTGTGGGACGTCTATAGTGCCGCTTCTGCTTAGACGTTAGCTAACGATATTAATTGTTGAAAAGCTGGCGATTTAAACGTAGACAGTGGGAGGTTAGCTTTAATAAGCTAGCTAACTGCGTTAAGCTGAAAGCGCTAGGAGTTAAAGCCGGAGAGCTCGTTCGCGATACTTTGGCTAACCCGATTGCTAGTAAGTACTTGTTGGAGGACACTTATCGTTGTAGAACGAGCTGTTACGTGAGGTGGTTAGTGGCTATAGCCGCGTCTCTTCTCTCTAAGGTGTCGATAGGCAGAAGACGTTAAGTTTGTTGTTTTGTATACCTTCGTGACGCTGAGGTTAATAAGCTTATGCTCGTAACAATAGCGGCATACGAAATATATGCGTTGAGGATTGCTTCGCAGCGCGACGCGCTAGCTGTAGTTATAGACCTAGCTTTTCTTGTAACGCTGCGACGCTATAGGCTTTATAAACCGAGGGAGACGATCCTAATTAATGCTATTAAAGTTATCCTCTAACTCCTCGTCTAAAGCTGTATTGTTAGACTCGCTGGTTGCTATCGTTGCCTCCTCGCTGCCCTCAGTGGGTGGGTTAATATACTCCTCTATTTGCGACTCGCGCAATTGCGCTTTGAAACTTAATACCTAGGACGCTTCAACTAGGGCTTTACAGGGCGACAGACGAGGTGACGATTAAAGGCTTTTAATAGGTATAGCTTAGCTGTAGGTGCTGCTAGGTGTAGGTTTAGGACGCTTTGTTGTTAACGCTGTAACAGCGTCTTTAGCGCGTCTCTTCTGCGGCATAACTGCGACAAGGATATAGCAATAAATGCAGAAAGCTAGCGGCAATACAG